TTTTTTTTTCGTAGGAGGGTGTCGTTTTTTCTTATTCGTTTGAAGATAAATAAAAAACTGAGAGTGCCTGACTCGTAGGTGTATAACGAAGAGATAACTATATAGAAGAGATAAGTCAAAGAATATTAAAGATGAAACTTGTATTCTTCATAAATCAAGGAAATCTTTTCAATTCTTTAAATCTACATAAGTAATATGCAATGCATTTATTTGAGAAGAGACAAAATTATCTTCGTCGAGAATATTATTATAGTTCGAGACATGGATCTTCAATTCTTTCAAATATACTAAGAGAATTTTTTACTTACATACAGCACTGGATGAAAAACGCATCTTCTCTTTTTACTCAAGTGAATGATTCGATTGACCTAGTATATGTATCATCTATTGATTAGATAAGATTTATGTTTTGGGTTTCAAATTTCTTTATTCAATTTTAAAATTAATAACGAACGTATATATATATATATATAAAAGAGAAAATGATTATTTCTATGTTCATATGTATGATCCTTTGGGATGTTTCCATTTATATTGAAATGTGAAACCAGCTGTTGTTAATGTTGGACATAATGTATTTTGATTGATTAATTGAAATTGTTCAAATGTTGATGAATTATTTTGATTTGTTGATGTATCTTGTTCATCAAAACTATCATTTTGAAAACAATGATTAAAATTAATTTGACATTTATTAAGAAAACGTTTTAATTCATGTCGAAATTTTGAACCAAATACAATATAGATATAAAAATTCATTGCAAATGATATATGATAAATTAAATGAAAATAATATTCTAATTGTCGAAGTAATTTTGTTTGAAATTTTTCATCATTATATAATAAACGCCATGTATGAATACAAGCATAAGGTCCACAAACAATTAAATATGATGTTGAAACAGTTAATAATAATTTTGTCATTTTACGTGATGCATTACGACGTGTTATTTCACGTATTTTATTTAATTGTGAATTATTTTGAAATAAATATTCATGTTGAATATGTTTCATACGTCTTAATGATATTAAAATAATTGTATTCATTGTTATTATCATTATATATGGTATAAGAAATACAATAATACAATCGATAATATCCATTAATTTATTTATCCAACGTAAATGTTCTAATGAATAACATTGACCATTAACAATACCAACAAGAAATGGTAAATATGAATAAATTAAACAAGCAAATATAATTATACATAATGCTAAACATTTTGATCGATACCATGAAAGAACAAGTGATACACGAAATGGTTGTACAACAGCAAATAAACGTTGAGCAGTAAATGATACTGTATAATAAGCATTAATAAAATTACATACATATGTTAAATATAATGTTAATTGACAAATAATTGGACGATGAAGAATATTTATATAATTTGATAACCATAAACAAAATAAAATCGATAAATATATTGTATCAGATATAGCCATATAGAATAAAAATGGATAGACAGACATATTTGAACCAATAGATCCAATTGTTGTACGTAATGCTCTTTGACCAAAAACAATAATAACAAAACTATTACCAATACATCCAATTATAACTAATAATAATAAATAAATATGATTAAAGAAAAAATTTAAAAGATTAAAATCATGTGTTAATTTATTCAAATGTGAAGTTAGATTTGAATCATTTAATGTTAGATTTATAAACGAATGCATTATAACAATCTGAAAATATAAATATTATTTTAGTCTAATAAACAAAACAAAATAAAATCTATTTTCTTTATTCGAAACATTATTTCCGATCCTTATTTTACGTAGAATAGAAATGCACTATATGAAAAACTTATTATTTTTTACATTTATGAATAATAAAAAAGAATGTTTCTTTATTCAACTCTATTTTTGTTTCTCTTTGGCAAAAGGTATTAAATATGTAGCCAATGACTGAAAGAACTAATTACATACTTTGCACCACGTAATGATAGCTAAACGTACCTTTATATGATTACAACACTATGAGGTGTCAAACTGTAAAATATTTCATAATATTCTATGCATATAATGAATTACGCGAACTGCTATATCAGTATGTTATTCAAATAAGCACATGATGTCTTGAATATTAAATATAACAAAAACAAAAACGCAAATTGAAAATGTCTTCGAGTACACTACTAAAACGTCGATAAATTATAACTAGTCCTGTCTAGCTGAATATAAAACGTCTATGAAATAATTTAAAAAAAAAGAGACTATATAAAAAAAATGAGTTCATATTTCATCAGGTTATATAGTTCTTATTATCTGCAATGTATTACTTTTCTTTTGACAACATATATAAATTTATAATTTTCAATTAAGAACTTAACATTATAAGTATTAACAAAAACCTAGATAAATATCATCTATGCTTCGAGTATTTTAGACATGATTTCCGCTGAGGATGTTTGATTATGACAGATAATAAACATAAGGCCAAGAAAACATAAGTACAACTAGTTTACTCAATGTATAATTTATATAATTACAAATACTGACGTTTCGAAATATATGTTGTCCTATATTATTAGAAAATTAATGCGATGAACTGTTTAGTAGAAACAAAACACTAATTATTTACATGATCAAAAGTTAATTACATATATAACTAAATTAACGAGATAAAACTAAGTTCAAATTGAAATAAATAAGCGCCTATATGAACTTCTAACAATATAGTTTTAAGAAGCTTATATATAATAATCATAGAAGTTAACGATAGAGAGAGACTCGTTTTTTTTTAATACTTTATATAATTAAAAGAGAAACTTTTCAATAGAAATTTGATAATAAAATAAAAGCCAGAGAGGAAATTTGTCCGCATCCGAATATTAAATTCTTTTTCTAGGAACATTCAACAGGTTTGACATTTATGTGTTAATTAGAACTCTGTCTATTATTAAAATTCTATGACTTTTATCATATTTACTTTTGTTAAACAGAAAAAATGAAGCTCAATGTCATAATATTTTATATAAAAAAAAAAGAAGAGGACATTTACTTTCTTCTATCATTTAAGTGCTAATAAAACATCTTAATCATATATTTATTATATTCAACTATGAAAATTTGATATAGATTCTTTTTTTTTGTATTATTTCTATTGATAATAAAATAATAAATGTTATCTTCTATATTTTGCATGTTTATAAATTCTTGAATAGAAACATGCAATATTCAATGAAGGTGGGCACTTCATCATATCGATTTACGTTCTTTCTTTCTTTCATTTTTCGACTATTAATTTATTTATATTAAATATGAATATCTTCAATGTAATTTTCATCATATATGACGTAAAAAAAGTTCCCATTTTATTGTGTTATTCGAATAGATTTTCTATTAAATGATATATAATATATATATGTAATTCAAGATTATAATGTATCGAATTATATTAATAATTGTTAATCTATGATGTCTAATCTTTTGATCAAATCTATCTATTGAAAAACAATATATTTTGTGTTCAATACAGATTAGCTAAAATCAAACCTTTTTTTATGTCAGTTTGACATAATAAATTTGAGATTGCGACGTTAATGTATCTTCTGGTATGACAGAAATTGAAGAATGCATATGTTATCGTTGTCGTTTTTAATTATGATCTATACTCTAGTTATGACAAGATGTAGGTTAAATTGTCTATCTAATGACATACATTGTATCATTTCAATGAAGCAATAAATTTCTTTTTCATCCATCCAATGAATACATAACAAGTTTTTCACTTATTAGATTCTAAATAGTATAATTAGCAGAGTATCACTTTATATATTTATAAATAGGGAAAGCATGAATATTTATGTATGACGATGGAAAAAATCTGACCCAGAAATTTCCCTTTGAGTACTTGACATTGTGTTTTCATTTATTATTATTAAAATATGACAAAATACTTTAAAATTGACCCAAGGTGATTATTTTGTGTGTTTTGTTAAACTTTCATATTAAAAAATAATCGTGAAGTATAAAAGACTTTTTTATAATTAAATCTATAAACCCATTTAATTAAATAATAATTTATCAATCTATCCCTATAATTTTTATAGAAAAAAAAATCAACGAAAATAGAATCACATGGAAGAAAAACAAGCCCATTATCAAGCATTTTAGAAAAATTTAAATACTATAAGCATTAATCGGTGCGATTTTGATTTTTGCTTTTCGGAAAATTTTGATCAATTTGTAAAGTTATTTTATGCCAAGAATTATTCATAACACCACGTATATTCCATATGCCTAATGGAGTATCAGGTTGAGAATTAGCATGTGTATCCATAGCACGGCACATCACATCAAATGGTTTGGAAGGTAAATCATTCAAGGGAATACGATAAGTCCATAACGTCCATGCATATGCACCCATATATGGTTGTGCAAGTTGTTCAAGTTCAGTTTGAAACCATGTTTTTCTAAAAGAAGTTTTTAAAATAAATATTAAAGTTTTTTTTTCAGGAACTTGTGAACTGTTAATAACTTGCAGCTATTTAAAGGACATTGTTTTTCAGTATAAAAGAGGATTAATTATGCACTACTGAAGAGATTTTATTAGGATTAAACAAGACCTTGTAAATATTATCTTTAAAACAAACATAAAAGCAAAAATATACATGATCCAACTACGTAGTTGAAAAGAAATAAAGTATATTTTTGCCCTCCAGAATGCGAGTTTAAATGCGTTCTTGAATAAGAAAAAGGAATCTGATTTATTTATAGTCAAAACAGTCTTATAGTTAAATACAGTAGATCCTATTTATTTGTAACTGCATCAAAATGATTAAAACTAGAGATTATGTATAGATAATTAATTTTATATTTAGATATGAAATGGTAGAAGCTTTACTAGCGAATCAAATAATTTGAACTGGATAATTTTTTATATATTAATCAATTTGTTTATAATTTTGACACTCGCTCTATACTTAAAAGGTACGGGCACATCACCGACTAAAAATAGATAATAGAAGGAAGTCAAAAGATGACAAATTAAAATGATTATAATCATATGGCAGACCGCAAAGGAAACGTTTTTAGTAATTCTATGGTTTTGATACGAAATAATCATGATTTTATTAACTAATTGTGATTATTTCTCAATATAGTATTATCTACCAAAGTCATATTGATCTCTATGTATATAAATCTGTTCGTCAAGATAGTCTTCTCATGTGATTTAAGTTATTCATGAAAAATTGCCTTGTCATATAATTAAAATTCCTTTTGTATTGTAAGGAAAAGAATTTATAATACTAACTTACCCATGATCAATACTGATTTGTACATTTTGTATTTGTCTTCCACCTCCACTTACAGCATAACCTTTAATTGTAAGTTTTTGATTTTTAATATCTTCATCATTTGGTTTGATTGATAAAATTTTAACTTTATTTCCATCTTCACTCGATGCAGGATAACAAATAGCAGATTGAACATTAAATTCTTGTAATGCAGGTTCACGATCATAATCAACTTGTTGCGGTTGTTTTATAGATGATGGAAGAACTTTATAATCCGCTTTTTGCCAATGACTATCAGATTCTTTGTCCGAAACAACTATTCGATTTACCCATTTAACACTACGTGCTCCAACTGTACCGGGAACAACTATACGTAATGGATATCCATGATCAGTTGTTAACACTTCATCATTCATTTTATAAGCAATTAAAACATCATCACTAAGTGCTTTTTCAATTGGAATGGATGCACCATAACATCTGTAAATGAAAAAAAAACAGCTTATATACTCAAATAAGAGATTTTACTGCTTCTAAAACAGTCAGACTATTTCTCGAGTCAACATATATTTACTATTTTTTGAATAGGTTACTTTTAAAGAATAAATGTTCATTAATACTATTATCGAAGGAATTTTCACTATGTTTTAGCAAGCCGCATGGATCATTAATCTGAAGTGGACGATTCTTATTCAATATAGTTCTGTAAACATTAAAAATGCTATTAATATTATGTATACTATAAACATAGATATATGTTTTCATTTCCATTCGTTTTTTTATACTTTTGTAAGAAAATACAAAGATTTTACCTTTGTGATGTATCACAATCAAGTCCAATAAATTGCACATGTTTTCCTTCTTTATCAAATCCAAATGATTCCAAAACATCACGTAATTTTACACCTGTCCATGTACCATTTCCAATAGCACCAACATACCATGGTGTACCTTGTACTGTACCTTGTTCTTCATTATTCATAGCACTACGACGATTACCAGAACATTGTATAGCTGATGTTATTGTATATGATTGATATTTATCTTTTAAATCATCATATGAAAGTGAATAGGCTGATTTTTCATTTCCAATTTCTAATTTATATTCATTAATATTAACAAATGGTACATGCATATGATTTCGTACATAAAAATTTTCCACCGGTGTAATAAATGATGAAACAAGAATAGAAGGTTTTGTTTCAGCATTGTATGGTCTCTCTGAACGAATAAAAAAATTTTCATTAGCATTTATTCGTTCAGGATCATATTGAAATAAATCAAGAACTTCTTCTTGAGCTTTTGCATTCGCTTCTCTTTCACCTGCAAAAAAAACAAAATTTTCAAATGATAATTATTTATAAAACAATTATACCTGGCGGTAAATTTCCTATTCGATATTCTTCTAAGATTTCATATACATGATCAATTTGATGAATTGTAAAAACTTTCCAACATGCTTCTAAAGCTTTACCAGCAGTTTTAAGAATTTGTTTACCACCTGGATGATTTTCAACAAATGAACTAACATCATATACTCCATCTTTATACGCTAACCAATAACCTAAAATTTACATTTTATGATTAAGAATAAATCATTTGAAGATTTTTATGATCATACCATTTTCTTTGGTTGTATGTTTAGCAACTTCAGTCATGCTAAAAGTTGGCAATGCCGGTTTTCGTTCACCAATAATAATAGATGTTTTACTTTCTGCATGAACAATTGGTTTATGTTTGGAAAATAAATAACCTTAGAAAATAATTCGAACGTAATAAACTTATGATTAGATTTTTTTTTATTATTATTCTACCTGCAATTAATCCACCTGTTAAACCCACAGTAAGGAATTGCGATGTTGATTTTTGACGAAAAATCGAAGTTAACCGTGATCTCATATTTATTTACTAATAATTAAGTTCTAAATTTGACTCATTTAACATTCTTAACACCATCTTTGACATTTGAAATGATTGATCAATATTATTAACCAATAGAATTCTATCCTATTACGTATTCACAATCAATCGTACGATTTGCTAATTTTCTCTTCAAATTTTTCTTTTCTAAAAAACAAAAAAAAAAAGCTAAATATGAACTTTATTTAAATGCCATCAATGAGTTTAAATGATGTTGTTTCTGAAACGCCAAATGTCTTACTATCACCTGAACGACTTCGTCTCGATGTTCCTCAAGGTTTACATAATTCCATGGCAATTGCAGCATTAATTATCTGGTATGTTTCATCAGCTGCCACACTCTTCTCAAATAAATACATTTTGAGTAGCTTTAATGGTGATGCTTTTTCATTAGGTATTAAATAATAACCTTTGTTATTCAATAAAAATCTATTCTTTTTTTGTTTTTCTATTCAAGGAATGAATCAACTTCTTTTATCGATTGCAGCAAGTTATGTACATATGCAAATATTGAATCGAATATCTACACAAGTACATAAAAATCCATCGACTTTAAAAACAATTTTTCAAGACATGATATTTATTGGTGCATTTCGTTGCCTTACGGTAGTTTTAGGTTTAGTAGCTCTTAAATATATAGCTGTTTCTTTTGTTGCGACAATTAAATCTTCATCACCATTGTTTACCGTTATTATAAGTCGAATTATATTAGGAGAAAAAACAGGTATATGGACAAAATTTTCAATGGTACCAATAACAATTGGCCTTGGTTTATGTAGTTCATTTGAATTAAGTTTTAATTCATTTGGATTTTTATGTGCTTTAGGAACAAATATTTTTGAATGGTAAATAAATATATTTATATAATAAAAAATTAATAAAACTTATTTTTCTATTAAGTTTACAAAATGTTTATTCAAAAGTATTAATAAGTGGCGATCGTTATCGTTATACAGCTGTTGAATTACAATTTTGGGCAAGTCTTGTTGCATCTATTTTTCAATTTCCAATTCTTTGCTACAATGTTCATATTTTATCAGCGTTACATTCTACTTCTATGACACTTGCACTTTTATATATTTTTAATGGTATATCATATCATATACAATCTGTTGCTGCTTATGCTGTTATGGCTTATATATCTCCAATAACGCATAGGTAAAAATAGAAATTTAGTTTCATTCTCATAAACATCTAGATGATTGAATACGATTGATCTAGATGTGATATAGTATGCTTTTATTGACAATGTAAGTCAATAGTTCATACTTTAATCTTATAGAAATTATACGAACAGTATTTTAAAGAATAAATTTTTAATAATTTTAGTGTTGCCAATACTGTTAAACGAGCCTTATTAATATGGTTATCGGTCCTTATTTTTCATAATCCGGTGACATTTCTTAGTGGTTTTGGTACATTAACGGTTATATTTGGTGTTATACTTTATAATGAAGCACGTGATATTGAAAAAAGAGCTGGAAATTCAAATAATTTAGTAAATAATAATAATAATAATAATAATAATAACAGTCCAATGATTACATGGCGAGATGTTTAGTCAGAAAAGACTAGTACAAAAATCTTAATATATGTGATATTTATAGGTACAGATTTCTATTATCATTTGTCTAATAAGTATATAGTAGATCTAAACGAGCAAATGCGACATTGCCATTTTTCTTTTTATTTATTAATTATAATTTGTATGTTTTTTGTCTTTTAAATGTTTTTTGTTTATTTATATCAATAGTGTTAATTACAAGTCATGCTCTTGCTACGCTTTTCAGAAAAAAATCATTTTAGTTAAATAAAGAACATTTTAAATTTGATTGATGACGTATATAGACAGGTGTATGATATACCAATTGAAATTGTATATCTATCTATAGATTTGACTGAAGAATAAAGTGTATATGTTATTCGATATTTGATTAATGAAAGAACATTCAAATGAATAGTATTCAATAGATTACATTTTTTTTATTACTGATAAAGAAATGTTCATATAAATGATGAGAGAGTTGCGGTTTCGCTCGGCGGAACGGTGACGGTATATTGCGGTTTTCTTACCTCGTGATATTCTTGAATTTTTATAAATTTAGTCGGTAAAATGTATTCAATCGCATGCTCGATTGAAGAATGTGTATTTTTGTTATTTGAACAGTATATTTAGAACAAAATTTTTCTCTCTTTCAATTGATAATGAAGATAAAACAAAAGACAGCTTAGCAAATCCTTCTGAAAATGTGAATAATTCATCATTTGATACGTAAATGATATGCGAGAAAATTCATATATATTGTACTAGATTGAATTCTGAGTAGATTTACAATGCTATACTTTTATGATCAATTTAAGAAAAAAGAAGCGATTATAATTGTTTTTCTATATGGGAATTATATTGTTGTATTTGAATGATACCTTTTCATCTCATGAACTAGAATAGTACTTATGAAAAACGATTGTAAAATTTATGGACAAATACTTCTCAAAAATATATGCTGGACAGTATGGTTTGGCGTTTCTATTGTTCCGTCCATCTCTGGTACAAACAACACTCATTTATAGATTAAATAATACAATTAATTTGTAATAAAACATTTTTATTTATGTATAAAAATTCTATAATGATCTCTTTATTAAACTGATGGTATTCGTCTTAGTAATATATAAAAGTTTACTGGAACTTGATGCATATGACTTTAAATCATAGATCTACAATGTACTCGAAGAAATTTCTGTTCGATTATGTAATAAATATGGTTTTTTTGAAGAGCAATCTCTTCTTGATCAAACCACAACAAAATTGTATTCGATTTAGGATTGCAACTTTGTGTAGAACCGGGAGTTCAATGTTTATTGTAGAACAACAATAACAAGAACAATAGAGAGACCGGGATGAATACAACGCATATACGGATGTTTACGTGTACATATATATAGGATCACGATAAGGTATGATCCCATACCTAGATGAGAAGAAAGGAAAGAACCATATGTATATATGATAGAAGAACACAAGGAATGTTCCAACATGATCAGAGGGAATATACCAATATGTATATCACTAGATATATTGGATATTTTCTACAAGAATGAACCCTAAGAGGGTGTTAGATTTGAAAAAAAATTATTCAATGCTAAATTGTTTCTGCAAAAGATAGTCTGTAATATCCTATACAGAGCAACACCTGTAACGTATTTCGCCCGATAATAAGAAATAATTAATTTTATAACAAGACTATCTTTGGTTTTCAAGTTCTGATTTTGAGAAATCGAGAAAATATTAAAGATAGAACAAAAAATAAACAGGGAGCCGATACTTATGAGATATCCCTTAGCATTGCTTTCAATAATGAAAACAATATTCATGATAAAATCATCAGCTCAAAGTTCTATATGTGATAAGAAAGAATAACTTTGAAATATTTATAGGACTTCTATTAACTATACAAAAATAAATGTGCATGTTATTTTTGCAAATATTTGTATTTATCATATTCAAATAGAAATCTGAAGAAACTGATTATCTGGCCTCTATCTTGGTATATTGATTCATATTTTTCAAAAATTACATATAAAATATCAAAAGAATCTAATAATTTCGTGTAAAACGTTTAATGTGAAAATTTATGACCTATTTTTAATGACACAAAAATGGTTGAAATTATCACATATCAATAATCGTATAAGTACATTCTTTTTTATTAAAGATATATTATAGATGATTCATAAATTACAATACAATACATATTTGTTGTGTTATAAATTTCACAATCATATGAAACCGCCACGTCTTTCGACTTACGCAATAACGCTGCAATTTGTTTTGTCAAATAGGGCTTTTGCGTTCTTCTCTTATTCACTCTCTATAACCCTTTCATTTCTTTTCTGTCCTTATTTACGACGTGAATCAACCTCATTCTACTGTTATTGTCGGTAAGTCGCGCAATATTTGATGTAACTTGCTACTCATGTCATTTCACCATCGAGTCGAAAATTGTTGTTTTTTTGTCTTATATAACCCTTCTATGTCTTAATTTTTCAACGGACATTAGCATACATAAAAGGACTTATTTTTCTTGCAGATTTGTGTCGTTTTTTAATAGCAAAAAATCATGGCCGATTCAAAAGTTACTGGTGGTATGATATATATATATTATTCATTAATATTTTAAATTCTATTTTATCCTAAATTTTAGTTTATCGAATTCCTCCTTTCTATTATTTACATGTTCTTGATCAAAATTCAAATGTAACACGACTTGAAGTAGGTCCAAAAACATTTGTTAAACAAGATCATGAAAAAGTTATACTTGGACCTGAACGCATGTTAATAATTCCGTATGTTTAATAAAATGATTTTTATTGTATAAATAATCTGTTTTTTCTCTCAATATTATAGTCCACGTCATTATTGCGTTATTGAAAATCCAGCCGTTCGTGATAGTACTGGCAAAGTTGTTACAGATTCAAATGGTCAAGTTAAATTACTTCATTCAGATGTTGATATTCGTTTTGCCCAAGAACCATTTCCACTCTATCCAGGAGAAAGTCTTAAACAAGCAGTTACACCACTTAAAGTTATTGAACCTAATTGTGCATTACGTCTTCGTGCTGTTCTTGATTTTGTTGATGAACAAGATAAACAAATTCGAGCTGGAGATGAATTTCTCTTTCAAGGACCTGGTATGAATTAACGAGAGAGAGAAAGAAGAATTATAAAATCATATTTTTTTGTTTAGGAACTTATTTCCCTCGTAAAGAAGTTAGTGTTGAAGAACAAATCAAAGCTGTTATTCTTAAACCAAATGAAGCCGTTCGTTTACGTGCTAAAAAAGAAATGACAGATCGTGATGGTGTTGAACGAGAAACAGGTGAAGAATGGCTTAATCGAACTGTTGGTTCTTATTTACCATTAGCTTATGAAGAAGTTGTTTCAACAGTTAAAGCTTATGTCCTTACCGACAAAGTATGTGTTTATCGTTTCCAACATTGTACGATTTGTTATTATTATTTTGTTTTTAGAAAGCTCTTCATGTTCGTGCTTTACGTACATTTACTGATTCACTTAAACGTAAACATCTTCATGGTGAAGAATGGTTAGTCTATGCTAGTGATGCTGAAACATATATTCCTGATGTTTATGAAGAGGTAGAATTACCTTTTTTTTATTTTAAATAGAAAGATAAATATAAAATGAATATATAGGTTGTTGGTGTTGTACCAGTAACAGTATTAAATTCTCGTCAATACTGTGTTATTCTTGATCCAGTTGGTTCCGATGGTAAACCACAACTTGGAAAGAAAAAACTTGTTCAAGTATGAATCATTTAAAATTTGTTTTTTTTATAGAAAATTAATTTGTTTTTACAGGGAGAAAAAACATTCTTTCTTCAACCCGGTGAACGATTAGCAAAAGGTATTCAAGATGTATATGTTCTTGAAGAAGATGAAGGTCTTATTCTTCGTTGTACAGAATCATTTAAAGAAGATGGAGTAAGTTTTTTTTTCTGACTATTCATTTTATTAATAATAATTATTAAATAGAAAGTCGCACGTAATCCCGGTGATCGTTGGATGGTTCGTGGTCCAAAAGATTATATTCCAGGTGTTGAAGCTGAAGTTGTTCTTCGACGTAAAGCAATTCCATTAGATGTTAATGAAGGTATTTATGTTCGTGATGTTAAAACTGGTAAAATTCGTTCAGTTATTGGTAATACATATTTATTAACTGAAAATGAAGAACTCTGGGAAAAAGATTTACCAGCCCAAGTTGAACAACTAATTGTCTTAGATCCTCGATATTTTGAAGATAAACAAGGATTACCATCAACAATTCCACCAAGAGATAAATCAAAAGTTATTACATATCGTGTACCACATAATGCATGTGTACAAATTTATGATTATAAATCAAAGAAAGCTCGAATTATTTTTGGCCCTGAACTTGTTATGCTTGGCCCTGATGAACAATTTACTGTTTTGAATCTTTCGGGTGAAAAACCAAAACAACCAAATAAAATACGAGCAATTTGTCTTTTATTGGGACCAGAATTTTCCAGTGATATTGTAACAATTGAATCAAGTGATCATGCTCGTCTTTCACTTCGACTTTCCTACAATTGGCATTTTGAAGTAAGAAAAATTTATTTGATTTTTTTATTAATAAAAATTTTTTTATTTATTTAAAGATCACTGATCGTAATGATACTAAAGAAGTTGCAAAACTTTTTTCAGTTCCCGATTTTATTGGAGATTTTTGTAAAGCTGTTGCTGCTAAAATTCGTGGTGCTGTTGCTGGTATTTCATTCGATGATTTTCATAAAAATTCAGCCAAAGTTATTCGTGCATCAGTATTTGGTCTTGATGAAAATAAACGAATTAACAAACGTCTTCTATTTCCACAAAATAATTTAGTATTAACTTCAATTGATATACAAAGTGTTGAACCTGTTGATCAACGTACACGTGATGCACTTCAAAAGAGTGTTCAATTAGCTATTGAAGTAAGACGATGGGAGAAAGTTTAGAAATATATATATATAATTTTATTTAGATTACAACAAATTCACAAGAAGCTCAAGCAAAGTAAGTTGTTGGGTTTAAAAGAAAGAAGAAAAATTTCATATTTTTTATTTTAGACATGTGGCTTCGCGAACAGAACAAGAAGCAAAAGGTCATTTAGAGAGACAAAAGATTAATGATGAAGCTGAAGGTAAAATTTTTGATTTTTTTTAATATGAGTTTTTCTAAATTTTTTTCTATTTATTTAGCCGAAAAGGAACGACGAAATCTATTACAACTTCAAGCTTTATCAGCGGCTGTTGAATCAACTGGTCAATCACGTGCTGAAGCTCAATCACGTGCTGAAGCAGCTAAAATTGAAGGTGAAGCTGCTGTTGAACAAGGTAAGATTTATATTATGAATTAATAAACTTTTTTAATAATTAAAATATTATTTTTTAGCTACTTTACGCGCTCAAGCAGCAAAAATTGAAGCTGATATTGAACTTTATCGTTTGACACAAGCACGTGAATTAGAATTGAGTTATTCAAAATTAGTATCAGATCTTGAAATTGACAAAGCCAGACGATTCGCTGATATTGAAACTCAAGAATTTAAAGAACATGTTAATGCTATTGGAGCTAAAACAATTCAAGCTATTGCTACAAGTGGACCTGATAATCAAGTATATATTTATTTTTTCATTATTATCATTATTTTAATGAATTTTCTTTCCTTAGGTTAAACTTCTTCAAGCTCTTGGTATTAAATCAACTTTGATTACCGATGGACGTAGTCCAATCAATCTTTTCAATACCGCTGCTAATCTAGTTGAAACACCAGCTGTACAACATTAATCAGCACTCATTAGTTAAATAAATGAAATCAATATTAACTAGAGTGCAGTCAGATTTTTGAAAAAATCGAACAGTTTATTATGACATTTCTTTCTTTTTGATATCTCTGTGTAACGTATAGAAAATTTTGTTTTGATCAACCGATTAAAAAAAATAAAATATTATCATATTTAATATTCGTTTTGAAATGATTAATCCAATTTGAATTGTTATAAGAAACTTATTGTCATAGAAAAAGAAAATCTAATGTCAATATTGACAGAAGTAAAGCAAAAACAACAATATAAAAAATACAAAAATAATCATTTTTTTATACCTAGATAAAAAATTTCAGGTATGATTCAGAACATTGTGACATGATGATTGATTGTAATAGGTGAGAAAATTAGAGATATAGATCAAGAAGTTATAAGCAAACTATCTACTGACAAGTAATATTATATATATAAAGAGGGAGAAGGAATGAAAGGTATGCATTCTCATAATTAACCTTATCCTTATTTCGTAGGTAATTAGACACATTTTGAAGGACAGATAGAAAAATAAATCAAAATATTTTGCTTTATCGACCATATCAAATACAAAATATTTTTGCATTTTCTTCCGATAGCTAAAGACGATATTGTCAAATGCGACGTTTAGCTTATAGTTGTTGAGCGACTACTTTTATCTTTAATAATAATTTTTCTTATCAAAATACACATTAGTATAAAAAAAACTTATTCATTAATGTTTTCTTTGGGTTTTTATGCACCAGAGTTATAATTGGGTGGGCCTCACAGGATTTTATTGGCCCAATATGGGTAGTTGAACTGCACCGGTTAAAACTCTAATATGCGCTTAGTATCAAAATAAATTACTGGATTAGAAATAATATATCATTCAAATGTTTTCAATTACATTATAAAATTCTTTGAAAGTTTATATATGATACCGTTGAAGTATTTTTTAAGATTATTGAATCTTTTACTCTCGTTTTTAAATATAAAGAATAATTGATTGTTATTTTTTTTGTCATATTTATTATGAATACATAAATATAGAAAGTAATCAGGCTAAGATTTTAGAAAATAACATAGAAACACTCGCACAAAAGATAGACAAAATTTTAATGTCTTTTTTTTGTATTAATTTTCTTCTACATGATAACGGTTTGAAGAAGTTGATGCTCGTGGATTTCTATGTGTATTTCCATTTAAACCACCTAGAAGACCTTGTCCAAAACCCATAAGATTGATGGGTGAATTACCATCAGTGACAAGCATTGATTGAATACCAAGTGCTTGTAAAAGTTTGACTTGTGTATCTGGACCAGATGTAGCAATTGCTTGAATTGTTGCTGGGCCAATTGCTTCAACTTGGAATTTAAATTTATCTGTTTCAATTCTTGACATTTCACCTTTTTTACTAATTTCTAATTCATTTTGTTCACGTACGAATTTGATTTCAGCTTCACGTGCTAATTTCAAACGTGATAATTCAGCTTCAGCTTCAATTCGTGTAGCTTCAGCCTTGAGACGAGCTATAAAATAAATAAAAATATTTATCATTTAATTCGATTTTTGTATATTAAAATAAGATTTTTCATACCTTGTTCAACAGCTGCTTCGCCTTCAATTCGATGTGATTCAGCACGACTTTGTGCTTCAGCTTTAGCTTGACCTGTTGATTCAACAGCAGCTGATAGAGCTTGTAATTCAAGAAGTGATTTTCGAACATCTTCAGCTTCAGCTTCATCTTTAATACGTTGACGTTCTAATAAACCTTTAGCTTCTTGTTCACGTCGAGAAGCTTCATGTTTAGCAGCAGCTTCTTGTGAATTTGTTGTAATCTAAATAAAATTATATATATATATATATATTTTTTTTTCGAAAATTTCTTATCGTCTTACTTCAATAGCTAATTGAACACTCTTTTGAAGTGCATCACGTGTACGTTGATCAACTGGTTCAACACTTTGTATATCAATTGATGTAATAACGAGATTATTTTGTGGGAAAACAAATTGACTTCGTACTTGTTTATTTTCATCAAGACCAAATACTGATGAACGAATAATATGAGCTGAATTTTTATGAAAATCATCAAATTGTGTTCCAGCAACAGCACCACGAATACGTGATGCAATAGCTTTAGCTGCATCACCAACAAAATCTGGTACTGAAAAAAGTTTTGAAGCTTCCTTTTCATCGGTCATATCGCTAACAGCAAAATGCCAATTATATGAAAGTTGAAGTGAAAGACGAGCATGATCAGCTGTTTCAATAACAATAACATCAGTAAAGAAATCAGGACCAAGAAGTAAACAAAGTGTATGAATTTGATTTGGTTTTTTTGGTATAGTACCACTTAATGAAAGTAATGTAAATTGTTCATCAGGGCCAAGCATAACAAGTTCAGGACCAAAAACAATTCGAGCTTTTTTAGCTTTATAATCATAAATTTGTACACATGCATTATGTGGTACACGATAAGTTATTAATTTTGATTTATCACGTTTAGTTGTACTTGATTTGGAGCTTCCACCTGATGTAGTAGTGGATTGTTGAGATTTATCAGCTCCTTGATTACGGTTTGGAACATTTCGTTCAGCTAATGGATCACGTGTAAGTAAATCTTCAACTTGTTTAGGTAATTCTTTTTGCCAAAGTTCTTCATTATGTGTTAACATATAAGTTTCACCAATAACAGCTCGTACCCGACCTGTTTTTATATCACGAACATAGATACCTTCATTTTCGTCTAATGGAAGGGCTTTTTGACGTGTAACAACTTCAACTTGTGTTGGAGGAATATATTCACTAAAAATTTATTTTAAATTAATTTTTATATTAAATAAAAATCCATATCTTACGTTGGACCGCGAATCATCCATCGATCGCCAGGATTTCGTGTAGCACCAGCTTGTTCATCATTAAATGTTTCAATACATTTAATAATAACACCTTCATCTTCACCTAATATATAAACATCTTGAATACCATTCTCAAGTTTTTCACCAGGTTGAAGAAAGAAAGATTTTTCACCAACAACAAGTTTCTAAAAAATAAACAATAAAGAATACTTTTCGATTAATAACAATAAAAATAAAAACCTTTTTTCCTAATTGAGGTTTTCCATCAGCAACTGGATCAAGAATAACACAATATTGACGTGAAGTAAGTGTGATTACATCAACAACAGCAACTAATTGTTCATAAACATTAAGAGTATGTGTTTCAGTATCTACATGTGTTACAAGCCATTCTTCACCATTCAAACGTTCTTTACCGAAATCATCAGTAAAAGTTTTAAGTGCACGAAGATGAAGGGCTTTTTTATCGGTTAAAACATAGGCATTTTCTACAGAAACAACAGTTTCCTGGAAAAATTATAAAAATTCAATATTTGATTTCTATCGTAAAAAATTTCAACATACATAGGCAAGTGGTAAATAAGCACCAGTTTTCTTAACTAACCATTCTTCACCAGTGACACGACGTTGGCCAGTACGATCTGTAATTTCTTTTTTGGCACAAAGTCGAATGGCTTGATTAGAACCGATAACAGTTGCACGAATTTGTTCTTCAACACTGACTTCTTTTCGTGGAATGTAAGTGGCTGGTCCTTCAAATAACCATTCATCACCAGCTTTGCGTTGTTCTTTAGCAGTTTCATCATCAAAATCAAGTACAGCTTTGAGCCGTAATGCTGAATTAGCCGGAACAACTTTTAAAGGTGTTACTGGCTAAAAACAAAATCATATATATAAATATATACAAAACAAGAATTATCAAAGTTACTACCTGACGAAGAACTTCTCCTGGATAAAGTGGAAATGGTGCTTGATCAGGTTGTGCAAGACGAATATCCAAATCAGCATGAATAAGTTTAGCTTGACCATTTTTATCAAATACAACTTCACCAGCTTCATTACGTACTACAGGTGATTCAACAACACAATAATGACGTGGTCTAAAATAAGATTCAAAAATAATTCTTTATTTATCTACATTTCGTTTTTACGTACGGTACTGTGATCATCTTTTCTGGTCCGATAGTGACTGTTTCATTATCTTGTTTAATGAATGTTTTAGGACCAATTTCAAGTCGTGTTACATTTGTATTTTGATCCAAAACATGAATATAATGATAAGGTGGTATGCGATAAACTGGACTTTTACTGCTTGATGCAGTGGTAGACGAAGTGGATGGATTCATATTGTTTATTAATATTAATGTCAGAAGTTTTGTGTGCAATGAATGTCTACTTATAAAATGTGAAAAAACAACAAAAGGTGAACTAGATATTGCATGAGGAGTGGTAAATAATTTTTTTTTTTCAATGTATGGTGCAATTTTGCCCCTCAAAAAAAGAGAAAAAATCTATATTTCACTCTCTTTACAACGTTGTTATTGCACAACGCTTGTTATTTCTCTTCTATACCCCAAGATTGCGTAAGTACATGTCAACACCTATGAATCATCGCGGAAAAGCAACGTCGTATTAATAAGAAAGCATACATGAATGATAATGATAGTGAAATTACTATTAAGATGATTGTTACACAACTGTAATGAAATAGAAAACAAAATTACTAATGCAGTCATACGTCTTTAACTATAAGAAAATTAACCTATTTTAACCGAAAGTATGAAAGTACTTAAAAATAAGAACATTTCTGTATGTGATGTAATGCTATTCAATAATATCAATTAATACGAATAAAATTTTCTTCTTGGTTTTTTTATCTTGTTATTTGCAAAAATCTCTAGATTTTCATATTCGAACATGTTAGTTGACAAAAAAATGGAGGGAAAGGGGGGGGGGCAGGAACCACACCAACAATTACACAAAAGAAAAATGAAGAAGCGACATTGAACAAATACAATACACACACAGACATACAAATAAACAAAAAAAAAAAGAATGTCTACATTGATATTTCATAAAGATCTTGGTTATTTTTTAATGTATTTTTTTAAATACACAAGCTAGACAGGTTTAGAAACAAAGAAAAGAAAAAAACTTTCATTATGCGTTATTCAATATGAATTACCGCTATAATGATGAGAATATTTTTTTTTTATATTAAAGTCATTGTTTAGGAAATGAAAAACAATAATGCTATTTAGGCAGCAGGTGGTGCTGATGGTTGTACCGTTTGTAAATCACCATGAACACGAAACCGGTATACACATGTGTAATTTGGATTACCCCAATTGGATGTTACTCGAACTTCAATATATTCAATGACTGGTACATTGACAAGCTAAAAAAGAAATGAGGATTTATTATAAAAAAAAAGATAATTGCTTTTAAAATTAACAAACCTGAGGTTTAAATCGTTGAAGTGATGGACCATTTTCTGCATCATAAAAGTATCGACCGAGGACTATACCTTCTTTATCATTTTTATCTTTTAAAGCCTAAAAAAAATATTTTATTAGATTTATTTGATCAACAACTCTAACTGATACTATTTCAGTTTAACTAAGTGTTCAAGAAAAATCATAACAGATTCTAATAAACATCTATGTTCCTTAGAGAATTTCAGGCGAATCTTCAATATCAAACAATGACTACAGTAGTTCTCGTTTCAGACTTAGTAACCACTCCGATACACTCTTTACGAAATATTTTCTCATTAAATACAATTCGACTTACATAAACCGTAAAATTATTTGGTGCACTATTAATATGTCCGACAATTGAAATACTTTTCGATAAATGTTCCATTGTAAATTCTGATGGTTTAACAGGTACAGCTAATTTAATAAGAACACTACCATGATCACCTTTAAATGGAAAACATTGACCCGGCATACGTCCAGCCTAAATGAATAAATCAAAAAATTATTTCTTTCGAACTAACTAATAAAAATAATTCCGCGCACTTTGATCATAATATTGGGTTGTTTAGACATATGTACAATTGGTATACCAAGAAATTTCACAACATTTTGCCGTGGTTCATCTGTATATTCCGTACATCTTGTATCGACAATTTTTCCACCTAAAAATACATCATTTCAGTTATATATATTTTTTTCTTATAAAAATTTACCATTTGCTTCAAGTGCATAATCAGCTTGACCAGTTTCATCTGCTGCATATTCATCAAGTAAAACTCGAATTAACTAAATAAAATTAAAACGTAAACTATTTTCTTTATAAAAAGAAATCTCAATAACTTACATGTTCATATTCTTTTTCTTGTGCAGGTTTTAATGCATGTTTACCGCCAAGATATTTTTCTTTTTCACGTTTAAGTTCTTCAATTAAACCATTGACTTTATCTAAGCCAGCATCACAATATTCCTTGACACTATCTTTCGTTGTTCCAACAACATCACTAACTTGATCTTTAACATTATCAACTTTACGATGAAATGTTTTTTTTATTTTAAATAAAACATCATCTGCTGTATTGGCTATTGAATCTTTAACATCGATGATTTTATGATAAAATCTTTTGAGATTATGTAAACCACGTTTATATGTATGTTCTTCAATAAAATGGATTCCATTATTTGTAACATTATTAGTATATTCTTGAAAATTTCGACAACCTTGATATAATTTTGATTCAGGATAATGTTCAAATGGTTTACATGCCAAATTAGGAACTATAGAAATTGAAGAAAAATTATTAAATAGAAAAAAGAATAAAAGAAAAAACTTACAAACATAAAATCCAAGTAGTAAAAGAAGTGGAAGTAATAACCACCATGGTAAACCAAAGAATAGATTCCATACAAAACTTAAAATATCGAGTGGTAAATGAAGAATTCGTTTAATAAGACGAACAATAAGACTATCTCGATCATCATGATCATGTTTTTCTTTATGATGTTTTTCATCTTGTTCTTCCTCAACTTCATCATCTTGATCTTCTTGACGGCTATCTTGACTTTTTCTATCTTTACGTTGTTTACTTGTTGTCTTAAGTTCTTCAAGATCATTATCACGTGGTGTTGAATGTACTGGAGCACGTCGACGAAGATGATAACCTGAGGATGTACCATTTGTTGATGATTGCGACGATGAACGAGTATAACGTGCACCACCTTGTGTTGATGGAGAATTTAAAAGTGTTGATGCATGTTCATCAGTATTATTGTGATGTGTTAAACGATCACGTAAAGCTGAATAACTATTAACTAATTGTGATTTAACATTAGACATAAATCGTGCAGGTGATGAAAATGTTGTTTGATTCGATGATGAAAAACTTCTTGATCCATATGTTGAATAATCACCATGTAAATCACGACGAGCCATTACTGGAACATCACATGAACCACTTTCCGTCACAGGCATATAAGAAACACTAGAAAATAATATAAAATGAGTTAAACTTCAATGATACAATTACTTATCATTTACATAGTTTACTAAGTTTACATTAGTACTGATTCCAACAAAAACGAACAGTATTTCAATATAAAACCCATATCGAAGGGTCTATCAAGGAGAATCCCACATGGATTGGATTAAGAAAATCAATTAAATGTTTTATAAAATTAGATCACATTGGAACTGTTCTATAATTCTTGAAATAATACTGGATTTTCTCAGATCCTTCAGTAAAGTCACCGAAGAATCAAACAGTTTTGAGTGGGAAAGTGCACCGTTGCTAATTAGCCGAGTTAACCATCTTGCAGTGATATAGAATTCCATTCTAACTATCAGATTCTATAATAGATATGTCGCCGATAAAGTATCTCTTAATTATTTTAATTACAGTTAACGATTGCTATTGCTTATCTCAAAGTCAAAGGACTACTGTGGTTTTTATTCATAATTATTCAGCACACGCAGACTAAAGATAATAATCTACCTTGAGCTGTATAATTTGATATTTCGTATTATAAAATACTTGACAGTATAAGATCGTATCGTTTTACCTGAATATCGCTACAAAACATAGATCTATACTAATGAATTTATTTATCAACTATGAAATAACTTCTACCATATCAGTAATAATCAAATAGGTAGCAGAATCCATACATCTTATGTTTGCCTGAGAATTATATATAGAAAGCGATACTCATCGAAATAAGTAGAAGTGTCAGACCTTTTTAACACTTAGACACTAATACTAGAGATTTTCTATGCAAAACTTAATACTAATTCAATAGTTACCTGTGAGCATAAGTATAAGTTGTTGGTGGACGTCCACTAAAAATAAAGAAAATCAATTTTTTTTTATTCCAATATTAATTTATTTATGGAAAACTTACTCAGTAGGTGATTTCGTACTTTGAAGTATATCATAAACACTTCTACTTGCAGTTGTTGAACCTACTCGTCGTTTTGTAACTGTATCTGTACGAACTTCAGTTTCAATAAACATCGGTCGACGAGTTGCTGTTATTGAAGAATTCGAACCTGATGTTGTTGTTTTACTTGTATCAATAATATCATCATCAATTATAATATCTGTCATTATTCTATTTTAATAATATAGAACAAATCTGAAATACAAAAATATATTTTTTCTTCTTCTCCTTCTTCTACTTCTTTAGAATCGTGACCTATGTGAAACAAAGTGAATGATATGAACAAAGACCGACCGATACGATCATGACGACTAGATTATAAGCAGACGAAAGAAAAGAACGAAAGAAAAAACAAACGTATCCTCGTCGCGTATATGTGTTGTTAGAAGGTTAATATTGAATAGAAAGAGAAGAAAAGGAAGATATAAAACGATCATTTAAGATATGAAGTGCAGTTAAAACAATACGTTGAATTGATGAAAAATATTCTAACCATATAGTTAAACATTGCTTTTGCATATCATTTCGTTGAGTTTTACTTATCATTTTTAAATAATATGGTAATAAACTTAATGATGCATTTGAATAGATAATCACTGATTTTGACCAATCAATAATTTCACTAAATGGAAGAATAATTAACTCATTGTCATTGGTTGTTATAACAGGTATACAACCATATTGTAATGTTTCAAGGAGACGATAAGAATATAAACGACGTCCACTAGGTACAAGACAAAAATGTGATTGTTGAAGAAGTTGAATATATTCATTTTTATCATCGGAAGTATTTGTATGATCTGTATATTTGATAATAATATCGTGATTATTATTTAAATGACGAAAAAATGTACGATGATGTTGAACATCTTCATAACTTTTTCCTTTAAATGAAAGAAGTATGGAACGCGAAGGTAAAGAAGAAGAAGAAGAGGAAAATGAATAATTAGAATGAAACAATGGAAATGTTAGATGTGATAGACAATTATAATTACTATATGTCAAACTAGTTGATGCAAGAATATAATGAGATGGTAAATTAAAATCAAGTGTACGATGATAAGAAGGCCAAGTGCCTAGAAGAGAATGAAGTTACGAGATTTTTGCCAAAAATAAAAAAGAATTTTAAAGATTGAACACATTTCTCTATTCTGATAAAATGAAATGAAAAAACTACCTGTATAATGATTAAATATTAAATGAATTTTATTCGGATCTGACCATTCCGGAAAAAATTTTAAACGTTGTTCGATAAAATATAGGTAATCACCATTTTTTGATCGACGATCACGATCAATTGTATCAACTGGTGCTATATGTATACATGCTGATGTTGAATCATTTGTGTAATACGATGAATTTCGAATTGTATCAAGTATTATTGCAAAAACAGGTGAACGTATATAAGATATATTCGGATATTGAATATTCTTATCAATATGAATAGAAAAACGTGTAATATTATTTGGACATAATAATTTTTGTTTACAATTTAATTTCATAAAACGAGATGAAGAATGAACTTTATCATGATGAGAAAAAAGTTGAAATATTAGTGCAATTTGTACAAGACATATAAGAATACAGATAAATAGAAGAAAAGTCAAACGTTGAGATATATTAGAAAAAATTAAAAGAGTTCTTATCATTGTGTCATATAACATATAGAATAAAATATGATTAATTAAACCACAGAAAAATGACAGACAATAAGTACTCTAACCAATTCATGTTGATCTTTGTCCTCTATAATATAACATTTATTTATGCATTTTATTTTTAACTGTACACTAGCGAACTCTATTTTCCAAAAAAACAAATTTTTATTTTTTTATTTATTTATATATTGAATAAAAAGTTTAAAAAAATCTTTTTTTCTCAATTTTACTTTGTATAAAAAAATTTTTTTTAATACAGTAATCTAAATGATAATTAATCAGATCAATAAGGTATATGTAATTATAATATTTTTTCAAGTATCTCTTTCATACTTGTTTTTCTATTTAAGTGTGTTGAATCATAAACAAATCAACTATATATATGTATATTTTCAATTATTAATTTAAAATGAAATTTTGAAACGGAAATAATAAAAAAATATTTTTATAATATTATGTCTTCTACTAATAAAGAAGGTCGTCGATTGGTATGTATACAATTTTTTATGACTGTATAGACTGGAAAGAAATCAGCCAGTAGAAAACAAATAATTAGGATTTAATTGAAAATAATGTTTAGCTAGATTTTAAGTGAAAATATTATTTTTATCTAATATGACAGATTGAATCAATCTGAAAGTTATTAAACATGGAGAATTATGTCACTGTAATTAAAAGTTAATTTATTGAAAGTAAATATTCAATGAAGTTTGCTATAAAAACATAGAACAGATGCTATATAGCAAAGTATAATTGCTCTAAAAAAATTAGATTTATATATCAGCGGAAAGTATATGAAATATGAATAAGAGAAGGGGATGATATTATTAATGCAGTCGGTTATTTATTTATAATTAATGAGCTATACTTTAAACAAATTTTAATTCTTTGCTTTTGATCTTAGATAATGAGCAAAAATTGTTCAGACATGTCATCTTAATTTCTATCGAATAAGTGTGTAGATTATCTATAAACAGATTACATTTCTATAGAATTACTAATCTAAAAGTTAATCATCATATTTAGACAATAATTGATCTAACTTGCATGATGTATTGCAACAAAATGAAATTCTAGTTAATTCAATTGTTATGAATAGATTAGATAATTGATTTTAAATTCATTTTTTAGCGTACACAAGCGAAAAAGAATTATAATGATGAAGATGATGATATTCTTCTTGAAGAAGTATTAGAAAATGAACAAAAATGGAATATTGAACAAAAATTTGCTGCTTCGAATAATTATCAAGGCAAATTTGTTGAAGAACTCACAGCTGATGGTTTGTATTCAGTTAAAATAATAATATATAATTTAAATGAGATCTACTGATATCATACTAATAACGGAATCAATAGAAAATAGAATTCAATTTATTAATAATTTGAAAGATTGTACACGGGCAAATAATATCTAGTATATTTATCTTCCAACTGAATAATCGATTTTTTTATTGCTATGAAAGCAAAGTAAGACTGACTGGTTGTTTTTCTTTGACTCATTTTACAGTTTTATTCTCCGAGGCTATGAACACATTATTAATGACGAAGTTTCTTACACAGAATCAGAAACTAGCATGTAATATTGGAAGCATATTAATTGTCATATAAGACTATATGACTTGTAGACAAAATTGAAAATCCTTTAAATGGATGAAATCTGCCAATTAGATAAGAGTTTTTCTTTGGAATTTTAATATCAACAGTTGTAATATTCTAAAGCAGAATGAATTTCATGAATCAATACTAAATTGATTTGAAATAGTTTCTCCTTATATATCTGATGTATCATCTACACTCTCAGATCTTTTATTGAACATGTTTTACACTAGGGTACTGCATCGGGATTGGGTATTTTCAAAATAGAGATTTCAGTTCAATTCTTGCGTTCTTTTGAAGATGTACGATGAATAGAGAATAAAATTCTCTATCAGATCATTGTATTTTCGGATCTCACTCAAGATGTATCGCAGGACAAATACCAATAGGATTCAAAAATCCGAAAAAATCGGGATTTTTCTAATCCTGTTAGTATTTCTCCTCCATACATCTTGAATGAAATCTAAAAATACAAAGGCCTGATAGAGAATTATATTCTCTATTCATCGCACATCTTCAAAAGAACCCAAGAATTAAGCTGAAGTTTTTATTTTGAGAATATCAAATCCTGTTGCAGCACCTTACTTTATACAATAGCAAGAATGTTATATCATCACAATACATTTCAGTTATACTATATTTAGTGCATGGATATTCTTATCTTTTAATAAATATAATGTTATTAACTTTTTCAATTGTTCTATGTAGAGTTCAATTTATCTTATATTCAACGTACCGGTTTTCCAAATCCAGTTGTTATAAAACAACATCGTGGTTTGGGTCTTCGTGTTCCCACATCTCGATTTACAGTTCACGATGTTCGTTTATGTATTGGTTCAAAACGTATCATTGATGTTGTTAATGTTGAAACTCAAGAATCACTACAAATGACAATGAAATCATGGACAGATTATTATGATCAACCATCAGACAAACGTTCTAGATTACTAAATGTTATTTCTTTAGAATTTAGTCATACAGCACTTGAAAGATATGTTGAATCACCATCAATTGTAAGTTATTAACAAAAAATGTATTTTCTTTTTGAAACCTTTATTTTTTAGGTGCGTGAAATTGATTGGATTACAAATACTTGGCCTAAATATTGGCTAGAAATGCAAGCACAATATCAAAATAATCTCAAACAAGAACATATGTATTATCCCAAAACTCGAAAGTAAAAAAATGAAAAAAATTATTTTCATAATAAAAACTAAAGTAAATTTTTTACAGATATGTTCTTATGTCAGTTGCAAAATGTTTCACTGATTTTCATATTGACATGGGTAAAATTTTATTTGAAATATTTTTTTATTTGATTAATAAAGTTTTTTTTGTTAGGTGGATCATCTGTTTGGTATCATGTATTAAAAGGAAAGAAAGTATTTTGGTTATTACCACCTACAGAATCTCATCTACGTTTATATGAAGAATGGATTTTATCTGGACGACAACATGAATGTTTTTTTGCTGATGTAGTTGCTTCAAATGATTGTCAAATGATTATTCTTGAACCTGGTTGGACATTTTTTTTACCATCAGGTTGGATACATGCTGTATATACACCCGAAGATTCTCTTGTATTTGGTGGAAATTTTTTGAATTCTTTTAAAATTCCAATGCAAATTCAAATTTGGACAATCGAAAGAAAAATTCGTGTACCAGATCGTTTTCGATATCCATATTTTATTGAAAGTATGTGGTATGTCATTGAACGTTATGTACATTGTTTAACTGGCATTACACATATTGCTGATGATTGGTAAGATTGTGTTTATTTTCAGTTCGAATTGTGGTCTAGAGTCCTGCATTGGGTCGGGTTTTAAAACCCGCCAACTCTCATCTTTAGACATGATAGTTTGTTTTGCGTGTCTACACTGTTAATTCAGTGTGTGTGACTAATACACACATCGAAACAAGTATGGATAATGACAACCGAAGCTCATGCACTTGTTGGTAAATCTGTCGAGTTTCGAAAATCGACCCAATGCAGGATTCTATTTTGGTCTCATGTTCTATCTGACTGATATCGAATCAGTACAATTTATTTTTTACTCGTATGAGTTAAACCAAAGTTTTGTCCCTTAGTAAAAATATCTTCAACAGGCTTTTACACATCAGAAGTTGCTCTATAAAACGACTGACTTCAGTAATTTTTAGTAAATCCGAAAAGAAACCTAGAACTGTGTTCATTCGCCATTAAAAAAAATTATCAATGGAAACAAAATTTATATTTGAGAAAAACATAAAATTCTATATATTTTCTTGCTGATGAAAAGTGAATAAACATTTTGATCACTCGTTATTTTGTTAATTTCTACAATAGCAGCATAAAGAAGCGCTTTTCAATATTTAATTTCCCTACGTTGTTTTTCTTCCTGACAATTGAAAATCTTCTATATTTACTTTGTGCATTAATTATATGTTCGTTCATAAGATATGAGTTAAACTTTATGTTCACTTTATTATTTTTTCTATCTAAGTTAATTAAAAATAATTCGTATTTAATGGTCTATTCAATCATGTATTTTACAAATTGTCAGCGTTTTTTTTTTTCTTTTCCTTGAAGTCAATCAATTAGTTTATATATCGCAGCTTAATACAAAACATATATTCTTAAAAGAAAAAAATAATGAAGTTCTTTGTTTTGTTTTTTGAATCACTATAAATTAACTATTGAAAATAGAGCAAAAGAAATTTCATGATTCAGTGTAAATCAACTGGAAATAATTTTTTTGGTGTATGAAATTGTTAGAGAATATTTATTAATCATATGATGTATGAGTTGTAATTTAATTTATTTTAAGAAATTAATTTTGTGTATTTGATTAATTAGATTTATAATTACGATCATGTTGACATTAGTTTAGGAATTTTTATATATAACAGAAATTTGATTTAGTTTTTATTGATGAAAACATCCAGAAACAAATATTTTGATTAAAATCTATATATCTGGTGATTCTATAAAGAAGAAGAAAAAAAATCGATTTTATTTAATAGTTTATTAATTTTCTCTTCTAGTTTGGAATACGCACAAAAGGAACAAGAAACAGATGGAATCAATCAAACAATACCAATCAATCCTTCAGGTAAAGATAAAAGAATCAATCTATAAAAAACGATTAAGATAGGTTTTTTTCCGGTAAAATATGATTGCTTTTTAATTTGTTCGTTTCATTCATTTTTATTGAACAATATTATCACTAGATATAGACATCAAACAATAGTAACGTCGTCAACTACCTCTTATGTGTAGTTTAATTTTGACTTTTTTTTTTCTCTATTGCGTGCACACATACGTTTAGTAAATGATGTTGTTAGTGGGCCTTTTAACGCTGTTTCTATTATTGATGTAGAACAGATTTTTTTTGATTTAGTCAAAGAAATAAGTGGGTGCGAGCGAGAATTACTTATTCCAAGTATTTGATCGTTCGATCGCCGTCATCATCACTTTGATCTCTACAAGTTATGAGAATGTTATTTAATCGTTAAAAAAAATCAAACATGTTAATTTGAAGACTTCAATCCGAGATAATCGAATTAGTAACACTCTGTTCTATCATGTCAATTAAGCTAGAAAGTTCATTTCTGATTTAGTTCAAATAAAAGAAAACAAAAAAAAAAAAAAGAAAAAGAGAAAAAAAGGTGTATATATACTTATACATAGATATGTATGTTCTTTGTATATACATTTGAATGAATTCAATTGTATATTGTGAATAAAAGTTAATCGGAAAGTATTGTTATTATTATTAGGCAAAAAAAAAGAATAAAGATTAGCATTTGCTTTGATTTTTACAACACTTCCTTTACTAATTTTTCCGGCATATTTGCTCTTTATTTTATGAAAAAAATGCATATAAGCGAAAAAGTAAGTCTAATAATAGAAATAGATTTCGAAGTAAATTTTATGCAAAATTAGAAGATTAGTTAGGAAATAAGTGAATTAGAAATGAAATTGTCTTTTTGCATAATCAATCGATGTATATATATATGTGAAGAGATAGAGAGAGAGAGAGAGAGAAAAGAAGAAACTAACTTTTCTCTTGAACTACGCTCTCTTATTGATCATCGTTGTCGATCATCGATTTTGTCAAGTGTAAGAGAGCGTAGATCTTCTCTTGTCAAGCATGCTTCTTCCTCTTTTCCTCATGATGTCAATTATCAATTCTAGATGTCTTCCTCTTCGAATTATTCCGGAACGGATCTGCTCTTCTTCCTTTATATATATATATATTTGTATGTATGTATGTAATATAGCTAGTGCTTGTCTTATGATAGTAAACATGGAAGTATCGATGTCATTTGTCTGCGAATGAAGGTTGTTTTGCGTACAAAACTATCTACATGTATATTCAACCTCAATGTTGAGGTTATCAATTGAAATTGTATAACACGAGCTATGACATCATGTCTAATGACCTTTTTCAGTAAATAATATGCATATATATATGATAACTATATATATTTCTCTCATTATTTCAATATAGGGAAAAAGTGTGAGAGAGAGTAATTTGTAATCGTGCTTGTTCTTGAACATGAGAAGAAGAATGCTCTAGAGGTAATAGTTGGTATTTTATATTGAGAAACGCGCAAATAGTTAAGATAATCAGATAATAGTCTCTTTGGGTGTAGGAATGATGAAGGGGGGAAGGAGAGAATAAGATGGTGATCATAATGATTTTTTTTTGCTGTTACTGCTTCCTGCATACGCGAGTGCGTTTTGCACTGTCTCAAGAGACAAATGAATAGTATGCAAAGGCGTGTGTTGTCGTCAGTATCTACCATCATCACTAGCATGTTGAATGATTTGCTATGTTGATAATAATACTATTGCCATCGTCATCTTTCTCTAGAGTTAACATCGATATAGAGATGTATATATGTGTATGTGTGTGTATGTGAAACCATTGTTTGAAAGCAATGTATATGTGCGATCGAACAAATCAGCTTTGGTAAGCAGCTTTTCAAGGATTTTCTTCCTTTCTTTTCTTTTTTATTGACTAAATAAAAAAATGTATCGATTAACTTTGTGAACAATTGTCATTCAATTGTATTGAGAAGAAAGAATAAGAGAGAGAGAAGAAGAAGAAGAAGGAAAAAAAAGAATTTCTTTCTTTTTATACCGTCCATTCAACCGAAAATAATCAACAACGAAATATAGCATTTATGTTTTTTTCCTTACAATTGTACACATGTTATTAAAAAATTTCTCCATAAGAAAATAGGTCACAGTTTCAATTGATTCTTTCAATCATCATCATCATATCTCTTCTTTTCTTTTCTTTTTTGTTGCTTTAACACATAAACATTTTCTCTGGTTTATCTCATATTTGACAATCTCAAACATTACTAAAGAAAAAGAAATCAAAAAAGAATCAACATAAATGAGAACATTGATTTTTGTTGTTAATTTTCTCCTCTCTTCTTCTTCTTCTTCTTTCATTCTTTAGAAAGTAAAGAAAAAAGTTTGTATTTGCTAATTAATAAATGAAATCTTTTTTTTTTCTTTTCTTGGCCAACACTATGCACATATATTTATTATAAATTTTCAAGTAGTAAATCTATATATTGCACTTGTAAAATATATAAGTATATGAAGACCATCAATTTTAAATTCTTATTTGAAATGACAAAAAAAAATATAGAAGGAAAAAGAAGAGAATAATTAATGCGCACTACCGCTATTACAA